ATATATATTTTAGCATATATATGTATATATGTGTGTGTATATATATTATATACATAAGCATATATATATATACACATATGCTTATGCATATGTGTGTGAGAATATATATATATATTTTAATCCCCTTGGGGGGGATATGACCCCCAATAAGAAGGCACGTTTGGAAAGAATAATTGATTTGGGGGGCTAGGAGGCACAAAAGTGAAAAGGTGCAGGGAAAGCATTACAGAGGAAGTGGTATTGATGGAGGGTTTTGAAGGGTGAATAGGAGATTTCCCGGACAGAAAAGGGATTCAGTATAAAGCTTCCCTTGCTGGGCAACTTGAATTTCTGCTTCCGCCTGAACATTAGGCCCTGTGGTAGCAGCCTCCGAGATGGTGCCAAGCCATCGTCACCACTGCCATCGTTTGTGTAGCTTCTCTCCCACACTACAAAGAGCTAATCTGTGTGCTAACTGAATGCAACAGGAAAGATGTCACGTAACCTCTGAAGCTAGGTCCTACAAGACTTTGCCACACTGTCTTTGCCTCTTATTTGACTCATTTTAGGGGAAGCCCCACGAAGACATTCCAGCAGCCCTACGGAAAAGTGCCAGCTCCCCAGGCAGGTGAGGGCAACATCTTGGGAGCAGGCCCTCCAGTGCCAGTCAAGTCTTGGGCAATGCCAGCCTCTGGGCTCCACATCCGGCTGAGCACAGGCATCATGAAGCAGAGCAAGCCATTCTGCAGGTTAGAGGTTCTGACCATAGGAAAAATGCAATAATAAAGGGTTGTCTTAAGTGGCTACATTTTGGAGTGATTTGTTAGGCAGCAATTAATAACGAATACACCCCGCTCCTAGCCCAGCTCCTTATCTTGTCAGAGCCTCTAGGCTGAAGACTGTCTCGCTCATGATGAGACCCAGTAGCTCTGGCTGGTAAGTCAGGATGTGCTAGCATTGTGCTGACTTCTGTACCTTTTCATAGAATTCCAGATAACTCTAGTGAAGCTGTAAGAGGGTCAGTAAGCTCCCAGGATTCCTCTCTGAGTCAAGATTTCCCAGGAAGCATGGCTCATCTCTGGGCACAATGTCCAGTGTCCTCCATCCCTCTCATCACTCAGCAGCCATCTAAGGAGGTTTGTGACAAGCTAGGGGAGTCAGGAGAAACTTGGAATCTGTCTCCACGGAGTTCACAGTCCAGCTAACGATGCCCCCCACATCTGCAGAGCCCCAAGACAGGACAGGCAGAGGAGCAGGAGTGCTTAGGTGCTCTGCTTAGCACAAAGGAGAAAGCAAGCGACAGAGAGGAGGCGAGGATGCTTCCTGAAGAGGCAGCACGCAAGCCCCGCCTCTAAGAATGGGCAAGACTTGACATGCTGGACATGGGGAGAATGGGAAGGCCCAAGTGGATTAGGAGAAGCCTTGAGTGCTAAGCAGTGGGAGTATTCAAATTGAGGGCCAGCAGGAGTGACAATACCAAAAAGATAATGAATGCTTAGGATGGAGGGGGCAGGGTCTAATCGCTTTTTAATTGTTTAATCCAAACAGCAACCTGCAAAATCAGTCTACTTACCACCTGAGGCACTGAGGTCCAGTGTAACAGCGCCTGGTTCTGGCGAGGGGCGTGTGGGTGCTTCTGGACATTCCGGAAGGGAAGCCCAAGTGCAGGGCAGCTCAGTGACTAGCCCAAGGTCTCACGGCCACCTCGGGCACCTCAGGGCTGCTGAGCGGTGCTGGCAGCCATGTGCTTCTCTTTGCTCCCCAGCACAGGGAGGAGCTTTTCTGGCCTCACTCCTGTTGCATCCACCCACAGCAGCGTGGCCCGCTCCGGCCACCCGGAGTGACTCACTGCTCCCGAGCCCACTTACTTTCCCACTCCTGCTTTGCACACCCGGTCTCCTCTGCCAGGCATGCTCTCCTCCCCGTCTCCAGCTCTCCAACGCTTCTCCTCTTTCCAAGCCACCTCTGCATCACCTCCTCTGAGATGCTTTCCACGATCCCTGACTGGTGGGTGGTCTTTCCCAAGACCTCACTCCTCCCTCAGCTCATCTCTGCCATAGCTGGTTCCTTCCTCCCTTCCTGGCTGGGAACCTGGGGGTCTGCCCCAGCTCTCCATCGTGCACAGGGTCGATGCCAGTGGAGTGAGACCAAGCCCCTCCCTATCATCTGACTCCTGCCTGCCTCCTCATTCTCTGCCAGCCTGACCCTCCACCCACCTCCCTGTCCCACTGCCCTCTTTACTATTCTGTGAACATGCCAAGTTCCTTCCCATCACAGACTGTCTGTATTTGTTATTCCATCCACTCAAGTATCACCTCCTCCAAGAGGCCTTTCTTGACTACAAAGTAGTCACTATATTTTACCACTATATTTATTTCTAGTGGAGCCCAGTTTTACTTCAAGGGTCAGACTGCCTACGTTTACATCCTTACTCTATTACCTAAGATCTGTGGATCCTTGAGCAACTTATTTAGCCTTGGCTATAAAATGGGGATAACAGGCCCTCCCTTGTGGTGCAGCGGGTTAAAGCACAGCAGTAAGAAGCTAAAGCCACTTCAGCATGAGTTTGATCCTCGCCCCAGGAAGGTGACCACATGGCGAGGCAGACCTCTCCTGGCCCGCCCGCTGCTCTCCTCAGCAGTGTACTTCGTCGATCTGCCTGTTCTGCTCCCCACTCTGTCTCTGATGAAGCCTCTCACCGCCCCTGCACCTCTGGCCTGTACCCAAGTTCCATATGCATAAATAAGTAAATCTTTTTAAAAAATGGGGTAACAGCACCTACAACATAAGGATTAAACGAGTTCATGCCTACGAGTGCTTAGAACCACACCTGGCATACAGTAAGCCTTACATACATAGCGTACAGTGTTCGCCCTTAGTAGTATCATGACTCAGTTTCTTAGTTGCTTATTGCCTGCCTCTGTCCTAGCATATACGATCTAAAAGGCTAGAGATCATGGCTATCACATTAAGCGCTATTAGCACAGCTCCAATATTTACTAAAATCACAGGCATATGGTAGTTTGCTGATTATACTTGTTACATGGATGGACGATGGAAAATGAATGGATTGGTGGCTGGGAAGGTGGAAGGGTGGATGGATAGTTGGATAAATGAATGGGTAGGTAGGTGGGTGGATGGCTGGGTGGGGCAATGGATGGATGGATTCATGGATGGGTGGAAGAGTGAATGAGTGGTGGATGGGAGGGCGGGCCATCAGGCGGACTGATGGACAGATGGGTGGGTGGATGGATGGAGGAATAAAAATAAAGCATGTACTTGGACCACCACTCACCCTGATGGTTACATCTTTCTACACTCTCCTTTCCCTAATTCCAAATAAAAGTTAACACTGGTGAGTGTCACCTACAAAAGACTGTACACTCACAGCTGGAATATTCAATGGTGTGTAACATTTGCCAGTGGAAAGAGTGAATCATTGGCCAAGAGCCCCAGGGAAGGCTACACCGAGAAGAGAGGCTGAGGAGTGGGCAAGAGGATATCAGGGTGAGAGGAAGATTAGGCAGAAGCAGAACAAGGGCCTCTGGTTAAAGGAACAGTGATAGCAGAGCATGGAGACCTGAGGTCCAGGGTGCATCTGGGGAAAGGCCAGGTGTCTGGAGGGCTGTGTCTGGGGAGAGTGGCAGGGACAGAAGATGATACTGGACAGTCATATGATCTAGACACTGATGGTCCTGAAATGAGGCTAGGGAGTCGCTGAACGACTTCAAGCACATGGTGGTATTTGGGGACACCTCTCAGAGTCCCAGGCGACCGTGCTAGGATGGGCCAGAAGGGGAGACAGGCCAGAAGGTGGGGGCAGCCAGAAGCTATGAAGCCATCCAGGAGAAGGCGGGGGTGATCTGGATTGGGCAACTCAGGGACCATGATAACAAAGAACATTCCTGCAAAAGACGGGTGGCCAGTCAAAGGCAGACCCCACCAAAGGTGACCTGGACCTTACCTGCACCAGGTTCCAGCCTTGGAGGGACTCGGCGATGATGGATGTAACGGATGGACAGACGCCTCCAAACACCATCAAGTGGTTCGGCCCGTATTTTATTGCGTCGTAGAAGGCTTTCAGTCCTTTTGCATTATCACACTGGGGAGCAACACACAGAAAAAGAAGTCCAAATTAGAAGCGCTTTCCCCAGGGACAAGAGCCCAATGGTGGATTCACAGGAACAAATCTTCCTCATGGGAAACTTTTGGGTTTGTGGGGCATCTGTAATGCAGCGCTGTGCCCTTGCTGTGAGCTCAGTGAAGCATGATCTTGGAGCCTCCAATCCTGGCCTCTCCTCTCGCACAAACTCCCCCCAAATCTCGGGTCTGTGGCTCTCCAGGTATCTCCTTTCAGATCATAAAGGGCTGCGGAATACCTCATCCAGGGTCTTCTCCTGCTACAGTTTTTTATATTTTAAAAAGAAGAGGGCTCTGTACAGTAGCGTGGCAGTTATCAAGCGCAATAAAGTAACACACTCGTTGGTGAGGTTGTGGAGATCCTGGAGCCTTGGTATACAGCTTGGTGGGCGTGTAAGATGGTGTGGCCATGGGCCCTCTCTGGTGGCACAATGGGTTAAAGTACAGGGGTTAATAAGCTAATACAGCATCAGTTTGATCCCCAGCCAGGAAGGTGACCCACATGGCGCGGCAGACCTCTCCTGACCTGTCTGCTGCACCCCTCAGCAGTGTGTTTCATTCAATCCACCTATTCTTCTCCCCACTCTGTCTCTGGTGAATCGTCTCACCCCCGCATCTCCGGCCTGTACCCCAGTTCTTGTATACAGAAATAAAAAATAAATCTTAAAAAAAAAGATGGTGCATCCATTATGGAACTATGGGAACAGTTCTTTGGTTCCCCAAAAGTGAAAGAGACCCATCACATGATCCAGCTTCCACTTCTGGGACAGATTCAAAAGAAATGAACGCCAAGATTCCAAGGGATATTTATACCCATGCTCATTATTCACAGTAGCCAAAAGGTGGAAACAGCCCAAATACCCATCAAGAGATGAAGAGATAGACAAATTGTGTTCTCTATGTTCAATGGGATATTTCTGAGTCTTAAAAATGGTTCCCCTGGCCCTCCATGGTGGCATAGCACTAAGAAGCTAAAGTCACTTCCGCATGAGTTCGATTCCTGCCTGCCCTGGAGGTGACACATGGTGCGACAGACCTCTCCTGACCCGCTTGCTGCTCCCCTCAGCAGTGTACTTCGTGGATCTGCCTGTTCTGTTCCCCACTCTGTCTCTGGTGAAGCCTCTCGCCACCCCTGAGCCTCTGGCCTGTACCCCAGTTCTGTGTGCACAAATAAATAAATCTTAAAAAAAAAAAAATAAGTCCCCTATGTGCAACCGTGAGGGTAAACCTTGACAACATGATGCTAAGCAAAATAAGTCAGCCACCCAAGGAGACACCATTGTGCTTAGATCGGTACCAAGGGCTGTCACGCTGCTGGACACAGGAATAGGATGTTGCTTGGGAAAGGTGCTAGTGAGGAGGAACTGGAGCTGCTGTTTAAGGGAGACAGCCTGGGAAATAAACGTGACACCTGTAATGTGAGTGAGCTTCATGTCACTGACCTGGGCCCCTCAAAAAGGTGGAAATGGTACATTTTATGTGACACATACTTTGTCACAATAAAAAAGGAAAAGGTGGCACCCTCAGCCCCCCCACATCCCCCTCGTCCATCACAGCATCATTCACCACAGCCAAGAGTGGGAGCTCCCACAGATGGAGAGCTGGATAAAGCAGTGGCATCGATACACAAGGGAAGTCTGCCCCGCTAACAAGAGGAAGCCTGCGACTTGCAACGCACAGTGAGCTATAGGCTGTACAGAGTAAGATAAGTCAGATGGAGAAAGACAAACACCCTGTGATTGCACTCACTGGTACCTAACTCTGGTACCCTGCTATGTCTGGTCAATCCTCTTACCCACTGCACCTCTGGCCTATGCCCCAGTTCTTGTATGCATAAATAAATAAATCTTTTTTTTTAATTGGTCAAGTTAATTTTTTTGCCAAGAGAGAAAGAAGAGAAGAAAGAAAGAAACAGAAGAAAGGAAAGGCCCTCACTGGCAGTGCAATGGGTTAGGAAACAGCACTGCAAGCTAGCCATAGCCGCTTCAGTGCAAGTTCGACCTCTGGCCCTGGAGGTGACCCACATGGCACAGCAGACCCCTCCTGGCCCACCCACTGCTCCCCTCAGCCATGTACTTGGTCTATCTGCCTGTTCTGCTCCCCACTCTGTCTCTGGTGAATGCTCACTGCCTCTGCACCTCTGGACTGTATTCCAATTCTGTATGCATAAATAAATCTTAAAAAAAAAAAAAGAATAAAGGGGAGGAGGTAGGGAAAACTGATCAAGTTCTTGGGACCCTCTATTAATTGTCTCTTTTCCTTGATTGAAAGCCACACTTTCTACCTTCCTTGGAGCATAAGCATATATAACAGAGCAGCTCATGTTTTAATTGTTTCTACTATGATTTACTGAATCATTTCCCACTTTAATATATTCCTGCTATGATTTTGGCTTGTTTTCTAATATGTAGCTAATGACAATGGTAATATAGTATCACAGGATTTATAATCAAAGTCACATTAAAATAGTATTAGCAACAATGAACATATTAATATTTGTCTAGCAAACATCTCAACAGAATTTAGTAGGTGTAAGAGTATTAATAATGGTGTTTCAGCTTCTTACAAACATACCACTTCTGAGTACAAGAATCTTTAACAACCTGTATCTGAACTGGAAGACTCTTTCACCAGGATGAGTGTGGAATTTTGGCAATTATCCTTGGTTTTATATTCCCCAGGGAATATTTCATTTTAGATATGTGATGTTGCATGGCAAAAGGGACTTAGCAGGTGCAACTGAGGTTACTTTACTGATGGGCTGACTGTAAAGCATTGCCCAAATGGCCCAATATCACCCCACAAGCCCTGAAAAGCAGAGTTATTCGTGATACATTCTTTTTTAATGACGAGTAGTAGAGGGGAATCAAAGAAACAAGCACAGAATGAATTTGATTCACCACTGTTGTCTCGGAGATGAAGAAGGCCACCTATATCAAGAAAATGGAATCTCAGTCCCACAAATGCAAGAGGCTGAATCCTGCTAACAACCTGAATGAGTCGACCCTCCAGAGAAGAATCCAGCCCAGCCCACATCTTGAAATAGCTCTGTGACACCCTGAGAAGACCACCAGCGCCAGAGCCACACAGTGTTGGGCTTCTGGCCCATGAATGGTGACACGAATCAGGGTATAGAGTGACATTTCTGATAGCCTGTTACAGCAGCAATAGCAATAGCAAACTAGTACAGTGAAGTAAAGTGAGAAAAATAAGAATAAGACAGTCGAGTTTCCTTGAAGTTAAATGTATTCCATTTAAAGAACTAGCCTTTGAAAGGGATTACGCTAAGCAAAATTAGCCAGAGGAGAAAGAAATACTGGATGGTGTCATTTACATGTGGAATGAGAAATCAGCCCTTGAAAGCTGACCATAGATCTGAGACATGGGGGGGGCAAAAAGGGGTGCAGGGAGAGCACAATGGACTGTGGGTGGAGAACTCTGGGTGCTTAAGTGGTGGGGGAGCACTGGTGATATGCTTGTTGGGGTCGGGGGAATCCTTTACTGTCATAGCATTACCAAGGATGGAAAACAAGGATATTTCATTAAATTTTAAAAAAGAAAAAGAGGCCCTCCCTGGTGGCGCAGCGGGTTAAAGCACAGCACTAAGAAGCTAAAGCCACTTCTGCATGAGTTCGATTCCCGCCTGCCCTGGAGGTGACCACATGGTGTGGCAGACCTCTCCTGACCCGCCCGCTGCTCCCCTCAGCAGTGTACTTCGTCGATCTGCCTGTTCTGCTCCCCACTCTGTCTCTGGTGAATCCTCTCACCCTCCGCCTCTCTGGCCTGTACCCCAGTTCTGTATGAATAAATAAATCTTAAAAAAAAAAGAAAAAGAAAAAACGAAATAATAAAGAACTAACCTCAAATTTTAGATAGTTTCCTTTGTGATTTATGTGGTATTGAAATGTTTTTCTGTTATAACATTATAGTGCGTGGGAGGGTTTTGTTTTCAATGTTTTAATTCAGCAAAATAAATTTCGCCAGTCTAGTCTGTTCCATGCTTCCTGCGCTCCATGTCCCTCAGCTTTACTGGGGGGTATCGCTGATTGGCGAGCCCTGCATTCTCTTGTTCAGCGGCAGACACAGGCTAGAGACTAGGGACTTGTCCACTGTCTTGCCAAAATTAGGGATGATTTAGGGGCCCCCAGTTCAGAGCTGTCTCTGCAATCTCAAGGACTCAGCTCAACTGTGAAAGGAAGGCATCTAACGGGATGCTAGCCTGGCCTCCTTCTGGTCAGCACCCTTGACCCGAGGAGGGAGAAAGACCAAGCACCCTTCCCTGGTTCCCCGAAAAGAAGCACTTTTGCAGTGAATAACAAAATCACTTGGCATTTCTGTTTTTAAGTGCTACCCACTTTAAGTGCGCTCCACCTCATTCTCGTTTCTAACACGGTATCTTCATATCCGATGTGCTTAATGTCCCGACAGACAGACTTGCCAGCTGACAGAGCTGAATCCCTGTGGCTGGACCAGGCTGGAGGTTTCCAAAGAGCACAATTCTGGGCCCAGTGAGACAGAGTCTGGGCATCTCACTTCCACCTTAAGCAGTGGTTTGCCTCATATCTGTTCTATATACAACAATGTCCCACCTTCTACTTATTTGGAAAGGGGACTGCATTGCTAGTAGCAAGCTGTGTTTGAAAAACCAGAAAGGAGATAACCCCGGAGGTCCTGACTGCTGAGCATGCAGACTGACGGCCACTCCCTGGCAGCTCACCCACCGCACATCAATGTACCTGATGACCCAGAGTCCACTCGCCCACTCAGCGGGGACTCCCTCTGGGTTGGCATTTCTGAGCAATTCCTTGCAGACACTGCGCATGGCCATTTCCCAAGGTAGAGAGTCCTTCCAACTCAGTGAAAGTCAATTTCACCAGTACTTCACACTTCATTCCTTCCTAAATGCTGTACCCAGAGGTGTTCTCCTACAGGTGGCTCATTGACATCTCTTTCTTGTGGACT